CAGTAAATATGTTATAAACAAATGCATGAATGGTGGCCACGGGTACTCCCACTCTGTTGCACCCAAGTTTTGAGATGGTCCCAGAGTTATGATGGATCTTCGGCTGCCCATTGTGCACCCAGAGCTATGGACAGACCTGACTGTAGTCCTTGAACCTATGTCTTGCCTGGGAGCCAGACTTAGAGCCTCTTGTAGGAGTTCTGTCCTGTCTGTCCAGCCCCCAGCCCTTTCTGCCTCCTCCTTCAGCTCTAAGTTTCCTTGTCTTCTGGTCTTCCTCCATTCATTGCTTCATCCTCAAAGACAATATTGCCCCAGTCAGAGTATGCATATGTACCAGCAAAGAAAAAAGTAAGATTCCAATGACTTAATAAAATGTTGTCTTGATAATTTTTAAGTTATCTTTTTCTTTCTTTTCTTTCTTTCCTTCTCTTTCTACTTTCCTTCAGCCACTTTCTTTTTCTTTCACTTCTTTCTTGATTCCTTCTTCATGTCTTTCCTTATTTACTTTCTTTGTATTTATTCATTTTGTATTCTCCCATGTTTCTTGAGAGACATGAACTTGAACAAATGACTAGAAGATTGTTGGAAATGTCAACTCTTCCATTTCACATTTCTAATGCAAATGTCAACTTCCTGGGGTGGTGGAGACAGTCCAGTTACTGAAGGTTTGGAAACATTCATTCATTCAACAAACACTTACTGAGAGCCAACTGTTGTGTGGGGGCTATAAAGGCAAACACTCCCATACATCTCCTTACTCTAAATACTCAGCTATAATACCGCTTCACTTCTGACACTAGATGTGTGGGCTTTTCACACATTAAGCAATTCTGCAACACCAGCTGGGTGTCCTACAATTAATTCAATCTACCTGAGTCTTACAATCTACTTGGAGATAACATCAGATTCCGTGGATGAAGGGTTCAGTCCTTCTAGACTGCCTTCCCCCACTTTAGATGCCATCACAAGTCCAGGTTATTATCTGTGCTTCTAACCAACTTGCTATAAGTTAGAGGTTCCCACAACCACCTCCTTGGGTTCAATTAATGTGCTAGAGCAGCTCACAGAATTCAGAAAAACACTTCCTTACATTCCACCAGTTTTTTTTTAAAGATAGAGATAAGCAGCCAGTTGGAGAGGTTCATAAAGGAAGATCCAGAAGGGTCCTAAGTGCGGGAGCTTCAGTCCCCATTGAAGTGGGGTGCACCACCATCCTGGCATGTTGACGTGTGCACCAACCTGGAAGCTCTCCAAACACCACCCTAGTGGATTTTTTTTGGAGGCTTCATCACATAGGCATGCTTGAGTAAATCATTGGCCTTTGGTGATTGATTCAACTTTCAGCCTCCTCCTCTCCCTGGAGGTAGTGGGACTGAAAGTTCCAACCCTCTAACATTTGTTGCTCCCCCTGGCAACCATCTTTAGGGGCTTATTTTTTAATGGAATATAAATAATTTTATTTAAAAATGATATATTTTAAAATTATTATCTTTAATTTTTATGGTTACAAATAGATTGAGATTCTAGTATAAGTTATGGGCCATCTCTTTTAGAAAATGCAATAACATACAACATCATTTTATACAGTGGCTGTGAGTCTATGTTTAAGAATCCTTGACATATTAATTCCCCCAAATGCCAATTGCATAAAAGAAATACTTGGACCTAGAAGTCTTTTTTTTTTTTTAACTTCATTGTATTTTTTAATTGTATTTTTTATTTGAGTATAGTTAACACATAGTGTTACATTAGTTTCAGATGTACAACTTAGTGATTTGACAGATTTATACATTATACTACATTGACCACAAGTGTAGCTAGTATCTGTCCTATTATACCACTATTACAATATCATTAACTGTATTCCTTATGCTCTGCATTTTATTCCTGTGACTTACTCATTCCATACTGGACGCCTGTATCTCCTTCTCTCCTTTCACCCATTTTGCTCACCATCCCCAACCCTTTCCCTCTGGCAGCCATCAGTTTGTTCTCTGTATTTATAGTTCTGATTCTGCTTTTTATTTATTCTTCTTTTTTAAGATTCCATTTATGAGTGGAGTCATGTGATATTTGTCTTTCTCAGTCTGATTTATTTCACTTAGCATAAAACCCTCTAGGTCCATCCATGTTGTCACAAATGGCACAGTTTCATCCTTTTTATGGCTGTGTAATATTCCATTATATATTTTATATATAATATATATAAGAATATATATAATATATATTTACAATATATATATAATATTTTCCTTGTCCATCGTCTACTGATGGACACTTAGGTCTCTTCCATGTCTTGGCTTTTGGAAACAACGCTGCAATAAACAGAGGGGTGCATACGTCTTTTCCATTTAGCGTTTTCATTTTCCCTGGGTATACACCCAGTAATGGAATTACTGGGTCATACAGAATTTCTGTTTTTAATTTTTTGAGGAACCTCCATACTGTTTTCCACAGTAGCTGTAACAATTTACATTCTGACCAACAGTGCACAAGAGTTCCTTTTTCTCCACATCCTCGCCAACCCTTGCTTCTTATCTTCTTCATTTTAGCCAGTCTAACAGGTATCAGGTGATATCTCATTGTGGTTTTGATTTTCATTTCCCAGATAATCAGTGATGTTGAGCATTTTTTCATGTGTGTGTTGGACATCTGGATGTCTTCTTTGGAAAAATGTCTATTCAGGTCCTCTGGCCATTTTTATTCAGATTATTTGGTGGTTTTTTGGTGTTGAGCTGTGTAAGTTCTTTATATATTTTGGATATCAACCCCTTATCAGATATATCATTTTCAAATATCTTCTCTCATTCAGTAGGTTATCCTTCTGTTTTGTTGATGGTTTCCTTTGCTATGCAAAAACTTTTTATTTTGGGGTGCCTGGGTGGCTCAGTTGGTTAAGCATCTGCCTTCAGCTCAGGTCATGACCCCAGGGTCCTGGGATCGAGCCCTGCATCGGGCTCCTTGCTCAGCGGGAAGCCTGCTTCTCCCTCTCCTTCTACTGCTTCCCCCTGCTTGTGCTTTCTCATTCTCTCTGTCAAATAAATAAAATCTTAAAAAAAAAAACAAAAACTTTTTATTTTGATGTAGTCCCAATTGTTTATTTTTGCTTTTGTTTCCCTTGCCTTAAGAGATATATCTAGAAAAAGCTGCTATGGCTGATGTCAGAGGAATTGTTACCTGTATTTTCTTCTAGGATTTCTATGGTTTCAGGTATCACATTTAGGTCTTTAATCCATTTTGAGTTTATTTTTGTGTATGGTATTAGAAAGTAGTTTAGTTTCATTCTTTCTCATGTAGCTGTCCAGTTTTCCCAGCACCATTTATTGAAAAGACTGTCTTTTCCCCATTGTATATTCTTGCTGCTTTTGTCATAGATTAATTGGCCATACAAATGTGAGTTCATTTCTGGGATGTCTATTCTGTTCTATTGATCTGTGTGTCTGTTTTTGTGCCAGGACCATATTGTTTTCATTACTACAGCTTTGTAGTATATCTTGAAATCTGTAATTGTGGTATCTCCAACTTTGTTCTTTCTCAGGATTTCTTTGGCTATTTGGGGTCTTCTACAATTCCATACAAATTTGGTATTATTAGTTCTAGTTTTGTGAAGAATGCTGTTGATATTTTGATAGGGATTGGATTGAATCTGTAGATTGCTGTAAGTAATATGGACATTTTGACATTAATTCTTCCAATTCATGAGCATGGAATATCTTTCTATTTATTTGTATCATCTTCAATTTCTTTCAATATTTTATGGCTTTCAGAGTACAGGTCTTTCATGTCCTTGGTTAAGTTTATTTCTAAGTATTTTGTTCTTTCTGGTGCAATTGTAAATGGGATTGCTTTTTCAATTTCTCTTTCTGCAACTTTATTGTTAGTGTATAGAAACACTACAGATTTCTGGGTACTAATTTTGTATCCTGCCACTTCACTAAATTTGTTTATTATTTCTACTAGTTTTTTGGTGGAATTTTTAGAATTTTCTTTATTTCATGTTATCTGCAAATAGTGACAGTTTAACTTCTACTTTATCAATATGGATGCCTCTTATTTCTTCTTTTTCTTGTCTGATTGCTGTGGCTAGGACTTCTAGTACTATGTTGAATAAAAGTGATGAGTGTGGACATCCTTGTTTTGTTTCTGACCTTAGAGAGAAAACTCTCAATTTTTCACCATTGAGAATGATGTTGGCTGTGGTTTTTCATATATGGCCTTTATTTTGTTGATGTATGTTCCTTCTAACCCTATTTTATTGAGAGTTTTTATCATGAACAGATGTTGAATCATGCCAAATGTTTTTTCTGCATCTATTGAGATGATCATATTTTATTCTTTATTTTGCTCATGTGGTGTATGATGGTGATTGATTTGCAAATATTGAGTCATCCTTGCATCCCAGGAATAAATCTCACCTACTCATGATGAATGATCTTTTTAATATATTCTGTGCAGTTTGCCAATATTTTGTTGAGGATTTTTGCATCTATGTTCATCAGGGATATTGGCCTCTGGTTTTCTTTTCTTGTGGTGTCTTTGGTTTTGGTATCAGGATAATGCTAGACTCATAGAATGAATTTGGAGACTTTCCTTCCTCTTCTATTTTTTGGAATAGTTTGAAAAGAATAGGTATTAACTCTTATTTAAATGTCTGGTAGAATTCACTTGTGAATCCATCTGATCCTGGACTTTTATTTTCTGGTAGTTTTTTTATTACCTATTCAATTTTGTTACTTGTAATCCATCTGTTCAGATTTTCTATATCTTTTTGATTTAGTTTTGAAAGATTATAGGAGCATCTGGGTGGCTCAGTCAGTTAAGCATATGCCTTCAGCTCAGGTCATGGTCTCGGTCCTGGGATAGAGCCCCACTTTGGGCTTGCTTCTCAGTGGGGAACCTGCTTCTCCTTCTCCCCAACACCCAATCATGCTCTCTCTCTCCCTCTCTCTCTCTCTCTCAAATAAATAAAATTTAAAAAAAAAAGAAAGATTGTATGTTTCATGCTCACTTCGGCAGCACGTATACTAAAATTGGAATGATACCGAGAAGATTAGCATGATCCCTGCACAGGGATAACATGCAAATCCACAAACGATTGTATGTTTCTAAGAATTTACCCATTTCTTCTAGGTTGTCCAGTTTGTTGGCATATAATTTTTTGATGGTATTCTCTTATAGTCCTTTATATTTCTGCGGTATCTTTTGTTACTTCTCCTCTTTCATTTCTGATTATATTTATTTGGTCCTTTCTTCTTTTTTTCTTGATAAATCTAGTTAAGGGTTTGTCAATTTTTGTTTATCTTTTCAAAGAACCAGCTCTGGCTTTTATTGATTTTTTTTTCTATTTTTTAAAATCTCTACATCATTTCTTTTTGCCCTGATCTTTATTATTTCCTTTCTTCTACTCACCCTGGGTTTTGTTTGTTCTTCTTTTTTTAGTTCCCTTCAGTGTAAGGTTAGGTTTTTCTTGTTTCTTGAGGTAGGCCTGTATTGCTGTATACTTCCCTCTTAGAACTGCTTTCACTGTGTCCCAGAGATTTTGGACTTTTTTTTTTTTTTCCATTTTCATTTGTCTCCATGTATTTTTTGCTTTGTCCATTCATTGCTTCATTGACCCATTGGTTGTTTAGTATCATGTTGTTTAGTGTCCATGTGTTTGTGTTTTTTCCCAGTTTTTACTTGTGATTTATTTCTTGTTTCATACTGTTGTAGTTGAAAAAAGATGTATGGTGTGATTTCAGTCTTCTTAAATTTTTGAAGCTTGTTTTATGGTCTAATATGTGATCTGTCCTGGAGAATGTTCCATCTGTACTTGAAAAGAATGTGTCTTCTGTTGTTTTTGGATGGAGTGTTCTGTATATTTCTGTTATGCCCATCTGCTCCTATGTGTCATTCAAAGACATTGTTTCCTTTTTGATTTTCTATCTGGATGATCTATCGATGTAAGTGGAGTGTTAATGTTCCCTACTATTACTGCATTACCATCAATTTCTCTCTTTTGTCTATTAACATTTGCTTCATGTATTTGGGTGCAAAAGTATTTGCAATCATTTTATCCTTTTATTGGATTGAACCCTGTATCATTATGTCATGCCCTTCTTTGTCTCTTATTATAGTCTTTATTTTTAAGTCTTTTTTGTCTGATATAAATATTGCTATGTCGGCTTTTTTCTGCTTCCATTTGCAGGGTGAATGTTTTTCTATACCTTCACTTTCAGTCTGTATACATCTTTGGGTCTGAGATCAGTCTCTTTTGGCAGCATATAGATAGGTCATGTTTTTTTTTTATCCATTCCACCACTCCATGTCTTTTTTTTTTTTAAGATTTTTTATTTATTTATTTGACAGAGAGAGAAATAGTGAGAGAGGGAATACAAGCAGGAGGAATGGGAGAGGGAGAAGTAGGCTTCCCGCTGATCAGGGAGCCCGATGCGGGGCTCAATCCCAGGACCCTGGGATCGTGACCTGAGCAGAAGGCAGATGTTTAACAACTGAGCCACCCAGGTGCCCCCAACTCCATGTCTTTTGATTGGAGCATTTAGGCCATTTACATTCAAATTAATTATTGATAAGTATGTACTTATTGCCATTTTTAAAATGTGTCTTCTGGTTGTTTTTATAGTTCTTCTTTATTCCTTTTTCCTCCCTTCCTCTCTTTCTTTGTGGTCAACGAGTATCTATAGCATTTTGTTTGGCTTTCTTTCTCATTATTTTTTGTGTATTTGTCATAGGTTTTGGGGTTGTGGTTACCATCATGTTCATATATAACATCTTTAGTAAATAACAGTCCATATTGATTTGATGGTCATTAAGTACAAACACGTTCTAAAATAAAAAAACAAAAACAAAAACAAAACAACAACAAAAAACTGAAAAAAGAAAACAATCTTTCTTTTTCCTCTTTTAACTCCTTTCTCCACATTTTATGTATATGTTCTCATATTTTACATCTTTTTATTCATATTTTTCTTATGTCTAATTATGGCCATTTCTTTTCCATTTAAAGAGGTCCCTTTAACATTTCTTGTAAGTCTGGCTTAGTGGTGATAAACTCCTTTATCTTTTGTTTGTCTGGCAAACTCTTTATCTCTCCTTCAAATCTGAACGATAACCTTGCTGGATAGAGTATTCGTGGTTGTAGGTTTTTTTCCTTTCAGCACTTTGAATATATCATGCCACTCCTTCTGGCTTACAAAATTTTGCTGAAAAATCAGCTGATAGCCTTATAGTTTTTCCCTTGTAGGCAATTTTTTATTTCTCTCTTGCTGCTTTTATGATTTTCTTTTTATCTTTAACCATTGACATTTTAATTATTACTTGCCATGGTTTGAACCTCCTTGGGTTCATCTTGTTCAGAGCTCTCTGTTATTCTTGGACTTGAAAATCTATTTCCCTCCCTAGGCTAGGGAAGTTTCCAGTTATTATTTCTTCAAATAAGTTTTCCACAACTTTCTCTCTCTCTTCTGGGACTCTTATAGTGTGAATGTTTGTTCACTTGATGTTGTCCAAAAGATGTCTAGCCTCATTTTTTTTAAATTCTTTCCTCTTTTTGGGGCGCCTGGGTGGCTCAGTTGGTTAAGCGACTGCCTTCGGCTCAGGTCATGATCCTGGAGTCCCTGGATCGAGTCCCGCATCGGGGTCCCTGGATCGAGTCCCGCATCGGGCTCCCTGCTCGGCAGGGAGTCTGCTTCTCCCTCTGACCCTCCCGACCCTACCCCCTCTCATGTGCTCTCTCTCTCAAATAAATAAATAAAAAATCTTTAAAAAAAAAAAAATTCTTTCCTCTTTTTGCCATTCAGCTTGTGTGTTTTCCATACCCTGTCTTCCAGATTATTGATCTATTCTTCTGCATCCTCTAACCTACTATTGATTCCCTTTAGTGTGTTTTTTTATTTCAGTTATTATATTCTTCAACTCTGATTTTTTTTTTTAATATCTTCTATCTCTTCATTGAAGGTCTCACTGAGTTCTTCCACTTTTTTCTCCAGCCCAGTGAGTGAGTATCTTTATGATCATTACTTTAAATTCTTTACTAGGCATATTATTTATCTCTGTTCCATTTAGTTCTTTTTCTGAGGTTTTTCTTATTCTTTCTTTTGGAGCATGTTCCTCCATCTCCCCATTTTGCTTGACTCTCTGTGTTTGTTTCTACAGATTAGGTGAAAAGGCTACTTCTCCTAAAGTTGAAGGAGTGGTCTTGTGTATGCTGTTCCCTGTGCAGACTGTGTGTGCTTGATGACTTTTCCTGGCTGGCTGGACCTATGGCTGTATATGCTAATTACTCTTTTAAACCATGGGTTTTTTATAGAAAGAATAAAGAAAAATAATAATGATGATGATGATAAAAGAAAAGAAGAAAAGAAAAAAATTAAAGAAAAGGACATAAAGAAGAAAAAGAGAACAAGAATGAAAATTTTTTTTAATTTAAAAGGCCATAAAATCACAGCCTGTTTTTTGTATACAGGCGGCTGAGGTGAGCTTGTGGACCCTGGTCTTGCTGAGGTCGCAAGTGCTCTGGGAGTTGGACCTTGCTTTGGTCTAGGCTTTTCAGGTGGATGAGGAGAGAACATTCCCACAGTTCCTCAGCCCTTTTAAACCTCAGCTTTCTTTCTGTGCCTCAGTAAAACTGGGGCTGGTGTGGACTTAAGGACCCTGGGCTTGCTGAGGTTACAAGCTCTCTGTGATGACTGGACCCACCAGTTATGGTGTCTGGACCCGCCCGTTAGTTCCTTGGGACCCTCCAATTATGGAGTCTGAAGCTGCCTTTTATGGCAACCAAACCTGCACCTTATGGTATCCAGACCCTGCTCTGGTCTGTGCTTTTAAGGTGGACAGGGAGAGAATGTTCTTGCAGTTCCTGGGTGCTTCTAAATGGTGGCTTTTTTTTTTCCCTGTGTCCCAGCACAGCTAGGGCTGGTGTGGGTTTGTGGACCCTGGGCTTGCTGAGGTCGCAAACTTTCTGTGCCAATCTGACCGACCAGTTATGGCATCAGGACCCACTAATTATGGCATCCCAGCCCGTGCCTTATGATGTCCAGACCCTTCTCCAGTCTGGGCTTTTAAAGTGGCATGAGGAGAACGTTTCCACAGCTCCTTGGCCCTTTTAAAACCCAGCTTCTTTTTCTGTGCCCCAGCGTGGCTAGTGCTGATGTAGGCTTGTGGACTCTGGGTTCACTGAAGTCCCAAGCTCACTGAGACAGGTGGACCTGCCCCTTCCGGTGTCCAGACCCTGCTCCCATCTAGGTGAGGTGATAACATAAACCATATCCCTCTGACCTGGAAAGCTTTCCCACAGCAGCGTTCTAGTGCTATCTCTTTTATATGCTAGTTGTTCTTTTAAACCAGGCCTTTTTTTTCCTGTGCCCAAGGACAGAGGGATTTGTTCCCAAGTCCTCAGTACTGTCCCTCCCCACTGCGTTTGCAGCCTCAGGGGTAGGGGTTCCCTTTGTTGCTGGGTCTCCATCTCTCTTCCTGTTCCGTTTGCCATTCTCTCTACCTTTGGTTGCTCCAGATCTGTTCAGTCAGCCCTTACTTCTTCAGGAGTAACTGTTCTATTAATAGGTGTAATTTGGTGTTTGCCTTGAGGGAGGAGAGTTCAGAGTCTTCCTAAAAAAAAGCTATCTTGAACCAGAACTTCCTAAGGGACTTTAAGGAACCACCTCATTAACATAACTCAGGTATGTTTGAAAGGGGCTGATGTGGAATAACAAAAGACACCCATTTGACCCTTTTGACTCTGGAGTTATTTCAGGAATGGAAAAGATGCCCCTAAATCTCTGAGCATTTAAGAAATTGCAAAGGTTTTAGGAGGTGTGTGGCACAAACCATAGACAAGAGCAAATATATATTTATTATACATCTCCCATCCAAGAGGTTATCTGTCAAGAATATTGAGGAGGAAATTCAGTGGGTAGAAGATGATGAAAACAAAGCTTTCCCAACACTAAGGTCCTATACTTAAAAAAGAAGGAGGAGGAGGAGGAGAAATGAGAAAGGTTAGATAACATGCTTCATAATGAAGTGATTGATCTTACAACTATTGTTATAAATATATTGAAGTAATGGATGCAAGTGCCTCCTGAGATAGCACATCTCTTCTATGATTTCCCTGCCAACACTGTATGATCTGAATCTAATCATCAGGAAATAACAAATAAGCCCCAACTGAGAGACATCTACAAAATAACTGGCCTATAATTTTCAGAAACGTCAAGGTCAAAAAGCAATATGGAGACTGAGGAAATGTTCCAATTTAAAGAGACGAAAGAAACTTGACAACTAAATGCAAATGGTGATCCTGGAAAATAGCCAGAAAGGAAATTATAGGAAAGGTTGATGAAATTTGTTAATGGACTATGTGTAAGATAATGATATTCTATAAATGTTAAATTTCTTGATATTGGTAATTGTACTGTGGCTATATAAAAGAATGTCCTTGTTTTTAAGAAATAAATTCTGAGGCATTTAACGGTAAGTGTGTTAATTAAACAAGAAGGCCATTTGACTGAGATGGTTCTAATCCCTTAACAGCCTATGTAAGCAAGCCAAAACCTAAGCATGTAAAGACCTCAAGGTAAAGAAATCAAAACCTAAAGACAACTAATCACAAACAGCCAATTAGCCTTCCCCAAATGAGGCAAATGCTTAAGATACAGCCAATCAAATGATGTCTTGCTCTGCTTCCACTTTTTCTTCTATAAAAATCTTGCCCCTGGTTCCTGTTGGTGGAGCGAGCTTTTCTAATCACTTCCGGGCTGGTGCTGCCTGATTTGAATCTATTTTTGCTCAAATAAGCTCTTAAAAATTGTAATATGCCTCTGTTTATCTTTTCACCAGGAGATGATGTCTGCAATTAGTTCTCGAGTGGTTTAGAAAAAAGAGAGAGAATGTTAGATCAAGTAGGGCAAAATCTCGAAATCTAAACTTATATGCTATCTAATGTGGATATGGGATATGAGAGTTCCTTGGACATATGTGTGTTCCTTGTACAGACTTGTAACATTTCTGTTAAGTTTAAAATTTTATCTATATAAAACAATTAAGCAAGTTTTGCTCACTTTTGTAAGGGTATCAAGGGTAAAAGAGAACTGACAGGTTAGAATGTTGAAACAATTTTGAATTACCAAATTTGGAGGTCACTATCAAACAACCCTCCTTTGGATAACAAGGACTTCTGGCAGTAAAATACCTCCATTAAATTGACACAGGTCCAAAGGAGTTTAATGAGAGCCAAACAGGAAATGCTAAGCTCCATTTCAAAACCCTTAGGCTGGTTGCAAAATATACAGCTCCCCCTGGACGAGACCCTCTAGCAATGACTTCAACCTATGCTCCAAAAGGAGCTGTAGAAAACTAGAGTGTTTAGAATTTTTCCTAGAAAGTGGGCAAAACCTTTCCTTAAACAGCTGTTTATTTAAAACATTAATAAAAATTACCTTTCACTTTGTTGGATACCCGATGAGTTGGTCTTCACAAAACTGATTAGAGCATAAGAAGAGCCAACATGCCTTGAGAAGCTGCTGTCAGTGACACTAGGAGACAGGAAACTGAGGAAGAGAGAGGTAAAATACCTTGCCCAAGGTCAAACATTAATGACGTGATAGATCTAGGAATTGAAACCAAGGTGTCTCTCTCAAGAGCCTGTGTTCTATTCACTAATCAATCGGCTTCCAACGCAGTAATGGTTCATGGATCCATTCCATGATATTTTATAGAGTGTCTCAATTTCCCTGTCGTCACAGCCCTATAAGAGTGACGTCACTCACATCTCCACTTTCACATGTGAAGAAAACGAGACTGAGAACTAACATAACTTGTTCACATTCACAAAAACTAGAAAGAGATGAAGGCAAAGCACCAACACAGTTATGTGCAATTTCAAAACCCCTACCCCTTTTACCCATCAAGACAGCAGAAATAAATTGCATTTTGAAGAATTGGCTATCAAGAAAATGATACCTGAGTGAACACCAAGCTCTAAAGTAACTAATATTAAATTATCCCATGGGAACTTTCCTAAAACAGCCCTGAAAAGCAAAAGATGATTTTTTTTTCACTGACTCTATAAACATTTTCAGAAAATATTTTCATTTTAATCCAAAAATGTACATACAGTCACACATCAGACCTCTTGTCTTTCCCTACTCCATTTTATTGTCAGTGTTTTCTCTTCCCTATCTCTCTTTCTCTCTCTCCCTGGTTCTACCTCTGTCTTTCCCTCCCTCCCTTCTTTCCCTTTCTTCCGCCTCCTTGAAATTCTAGTTGTAGAAAAAGGTTACGAAGGTTCCTGCTTCCCCCTAGTGGTATGTGTCTAGAAATGGCAGTCACATTAGGAAAATTAGGAAAACTTTACAGACCGTAGGAATAAAATGACACTTAGACTCCTTTAGAGTTTTTGGAGGCAGGGGGGCAACGGGGTGAGAGGAAAGAACCTGTGATCACTGACAGTCTATTTAACCTCACATGGCCTCAGAAAATGCACCTGTGACGGGGACGTTAGACTATCCCCTTCTCACAGTTGTCTTACGGGTTGAGATAATATAGTAAAGGGTCTTGAAGCACAGTACACTCCCAATAAGAGCTAACTATTATTTACTTTTGACAGCTCTGTAAGGTTAGGAAACAGAGGTTCAGCACAGCTTACTTCTTTTCTTTTTTTTTTCTTTAAGATTTTTATTTATTTATTTGACAGAGAGAGACACACAAGAGAGGGAACACCAGCAGGGTGAGTGGGAGAGGGAGAAGCAGGCTTCCCGCTGAGCAGGGAGCCTGATGCGGGGCTCGATCCCAGGACTCTAGGATCATGACCTGAGCCGAAGGCAGACGCTCAACAACTAAGCCACCCAGGCACCCCACAGCTTACTTATTTTCTTAAGTTAACTTAGCCAGCGAGCTGTAGGACTAAGCCCGTAATCCAAGTTTTCAGACGTTAGTGCCCTTCCTCACACTTCAGTCTCCCGATGAATAGGTGATAATGAGGAATCTTAAGAATTTTAAAAGTCTTACAGGGATATTTTCATATACTACCTGTGTTTTCCATTAAATTAAAAAAAATATGCATTTCAAAGACCTGCGGTCCTATCTCCAGAATTGGGTCTTAAAATTGCAAGAAGAGAAGCGCACAAAGATTTATGTCCAGGGGCGCCTGGGTGACTCAGTCAGTTGGGTGTCTGCCTTCGGCTCAGGTCATGATCCCAGGGTCCTGGGATCGAGTCCAGAGTCCCCGAGTCCCGCATTGGGCTCCCTGCTCAGAGGGGAGTCTGCTTCTCCCTCTCCCTCCACCCCTCTCCCTGTTTGTACTCTCTCTCTCAAATAAATAAAACCTTTAAAAAAAAAGATTTATGTCCAAAATATGTTCACGGATCATTACTTATAACAGTACAAAGTTGAAATCAAGCTAAATATATTTATTCAATAAACCTTTGTACAAATAATGATAATTGTTTTTATTTATTTATTTCATTTATTTCTCGGTGCCAGATGCTGTCTTAAGAACTAGGAATAGATCAAAGCATTCAGTAAGGCAGGTTCCAATATGTTCTATTCACTGATCAGTCGGCTTCTGAGACAGAACCATGGATCCAGTCCACATTTCACTGCATGGTAGTACTTCAGAGGGACTATTGTGCGACAGTGAAAAAAATCACGTTTTCAATAATTATTAAATTATATGGAGATGTGCTTACATTAAAAATGTTAAGGGAAAAAACAGTATGAAAAATTGCATACTATATTATTTCAGTCCTAAATGTGTGTGTGTGTGTGTGTGTGTGTGTGTGTGTAGCACCAAAATCTAAATCTAAGTAGTACCTTCCTCCAGGTGATAGGTTATGGGTAATTTTGTGTCCTCGTTTATACTTGTCTGAATATCCTGAACTTTTGTAATGAGACAGAACTGCTGGGGCGCCTGGGTGGCTCAGTTGGTTAAGCATCTGCCTTCGGCTCAGGTCCTGATCTCAGGGTCCTGGGATCGAGTCCCACATCAGGCTCCTTGCTCAGCGGGGAGCCTGCTTCTCCCTCTCTCTGCTTACGTTCTTTCTCTGTGTGTCTCTCAAATAAACAAATAAAACCTCAAAAAGAAGAAGAAGAAGAAGAAGAAGAAGAAGAAGAACTGCTGTGATCGTCAGAAAATTTACATGAAAAACTATTTTGGGGTGCTAAAAAAAACCCAGAATTTCTGAGAACGGGCTTTAGTTTCTCTTCACAGTTAAATAATGAATCAAGAAGTGTAGATGGGAAAGATTTGCAAGAAAAACAATTACCCCAAGGATTGGGAATAGAGGCCAGATGTTCAAACTAGAAAGGGCCGTGCCTGAGAGGGTGTTTAAAAGAGCAGGTGTAAGGCATTCACTTGGCACACTGGACCCTACTTTCCATTGAGGTCAGTTGTTCGCACAGAAAGGATTCACACTAGACTGAACTAGTGTGGACAGAAGATCTGATGCCTCCAGAAGAGAAAACGGGGAAGAGCTGTGACCCCAGCAGGTATAATTTCTGGATTGGAGAGTTTCAAAGTTACTGTGGAAAAGCACCAAGGAGAGCCTTCTTTCTGACAGTAATCCTAAAAGGTGTGTTGTTTCCTATCAGCCCCTTCTGGGCAGGGCCTATCAGCAGCACCAAATGCGTGAGACATAGGCCCACCTTGAGGTGGCATCTCCCCAGCAACCTGCGTGAGCCAATTATATCACTCACAGTGGAAACCTGCAGCTCCAGATAATGTCACTTGGCCCCAAACACTGTACAGCCCGTGCCTTTCCCGTCTTCCTGAGAAAGTTAAGGTTGAGCTGCTGAGCCTGACCCTTAGCAGGCCTTTGGAATTCCCCCCTACACAGACTAGATAAGGGATTTTTTTTTTTTAATTGGAAACGAGTTCATTTCCCAATCCCTTATTTGGTGCACAGATCTGTCTATTTCGCAGAGATTTCAGCTCTGCAAATAAGCTGGAGCTGGAGCTGGAGCTGGAGCTTCCCTCAGAAAAACCGCTGGTTGGAGGTGGTCAACAGAAATCTCAACAAAACATGAACAAGGCAAGTTCTTGCTGAGACTCACCCAAAGAAAATCCCAGAGGAGAATGCTGAGCACTCATTTCAGGATGAAGCTGCAAGAGCAGAGAAGTATTTGTACCACAAATGAATACCGTCCATTGACCAACAGAGGCAGAAGGATTCTCGCAACTACTGCAGCCCCCAGGATGAGAATCTGGCTCCTCCCGAGGTCGCTTCCTCTCCTGATGCTGTTCTCCGCCCTGCAGACACCCACCGGGTGTTCTGAGGTAGGGCACAATTGAGGAGGTGATTCTTTATGGTCAGTGCCCCACTGGAGCGCTTTCCTGGTGACAACCTTTAAGTGACTTTTAGTCACTTGGGATCTGATTTCATTCAAACATTTTTTTAAAAGACTTTTTATTTTATTTATGTGACAGAGAGAGAGAGAGAGCACAGGCAGGGGGAGCGGGAGAGGGAGAAGCAGGCTCTCCACTGAGCAGGGAGCCCGATATGGGACTCGATCCCAGGACACTGGAATCATGACCTGAGCCAAAGGCAGGCACTTAACCGACTGAGCCACCCAGGTGCCCCTCATTCAGACATTTTAACCAATAATGCTAGTGAAGGGAGCACCTGGGTGGCTCAGTTGTTAAGTGTCTGCCTTCGGCTCAGGTCATGATCCCTGGGTCCTGGGATCGAGCCCCGCATCGGGCTCCCTGCTCAGCAGGAAGCCGGCTTCTCCTTCTCCCACTCTCCCTGGTTGTGTTCCCTCTCTCACTGTGTCTCTCTCTGTCAAATAAATAAATAAAATCTTAAAAAAAAAAATAATGCTAGTGAAGGGTGTTGAAAACAATTCTTAAAAATTGTGGAATTCTTTAGAGTTTATAAATTTGGCGTTAATGGAAGCTAGAGGCATAATGTTATTTTCTTGATTCTCCATAAAATTTAAATTGCTTCTGTAGGACAAATGATGCAAAATAAAGTCTATTTGGCTTTCGACCGTTTCATAGGGATCAACTCAAAAGAAGTATTATAATTTAAAGATCTATATAATGAAAAATAATCTATTGTTAAGAGATAACAGAGTACATACTTGAGATCTAGTAATATAGTAAAGTGTTTAGAGCTCACAAGACGTAACAGAACATGATATGATTGATTTTGTTTTGTTTTGGCTTAAATAGATTCTGTAGATCTATTTGTAAATCTTCTGTAAAGAGTTATTGGTAAAGATCATTTAAGCAGTCTTAAAAATCTGTTCCATTTTGCACACACCTAGATGTCTTCTCATCATAAATAACAGTAAAACACCAAAATGGTATGTTTTTGAGTTTCAGCTGCAACATCTTTGACATTGACCGGATGGAATCTTATCTCCTAATATAAGGAGTGCTGTTTATTAGAAAAGCATCGTTTCTTTGCCAAGAAGAAAACATCTTGGAATTTAGATAGTTGAAATCATGGCTCTGAAAAACAGACTGATGATACTTAATGAACTTGTATTCAAATCTCTAACTTCAGTTTAATATGGACTAGATATTAATAAGTAACCTTCAACTGACTACCCATAGGAAATTATCTTTTTCCCACTCCTGGCACACTCCTGAGCACTTTACCATTCCCCTGGTGGTGGGCAAATTTAGTTGATTGGTAACATCAGGAATAATAACTGGGCATTCTGAGTTTGACTTTGCTCTTTTTCCTCCTGGGAGTTAGCCTGACAGAAAAGGACACGAGCTCTGTGCTCCTCCATGACAAGAATCTTATCTTTGGGCAGGCCACAATCCAATACTGTCTGCAGCTCAGTGGGCAAGTCTGCCTTGTTCTGGGGTTTACTCTTAACAAATCTACTTGCCATCAGACCCAAAGATATGTGCCCCAACAATTCAGCAGTAAAGATGATATTTTAACCTTCATACATGCTCTTTTTTCCTCAATTTTTAAATCAGATCCTGGTCAGAAGAGAGGGCTCTTATTTACTGGGGACCCCTAGGGACAACCCAACATTACTCATCACTGAAGTTTTTTCGTAAATAAAGTTCAGAGACTTAATACAAGTTTTAGGTATTCATAAAAGAGATCTTCGTTAACACCCATGACAGGATGTGAAGGGGGTCAGTAGAGGAAACAGAAAGTACACATAAACTTTAAGATTATAATTTTTTTTCTTCCAAGTACTATGCAAAAATACTGGTTTTGGTTCTACAAGAAGGGTCACTTCCTCCCTGGGGAGGTGAGGTTTTTTTTGAGCTTTTAGTAATAGTTATCAAACCAAATTCAATCTCTGGCACAGGTCCTGATGCAGGAAGTACTAGGACAGGGTAATGATTATGAGTGAAACTTACTTCAGCACATAAGTTTTGAGAAGAAGACTTGGCTTTATGGAGGATAGCAAGTCAGGCACCGGATCCACCATCTGATTTGAAAAGTTAAAGTCAAGATTTTTCTTTTCTTATAGGTTGCAGTTAACGTTGACTTTGACTTGACACCAGATTCCTTTGATGATCAGTACCAAGGCTGCAGCCCACAAGTCATGGAGAAGCTAAGTCAAGGGGATTATTTCACAAAAGAACTAGAAGCACATGGAAATTACCACAGGGTCTGGGCGAATGCCCACTTAACCTGGCTGAACAGAGGAAAAGATCTCCCCAAGAACATGAATATTACACATGCTGTGGCCATCTTGGTTTATACATCAAACAATAGTGTCCGCGCAGACTTCACTAAAGCCATGGTCAGTGCTGGGAGGTCTCCGCAGCCGTATAAACAGTCATTCCGTTTCAAATACCTGCACTACTACCTGACCTCAGCAATCCAGCTGCTAAGGAAACAAATGGTCATGAAGAATGACTCTCTGTGTTTTGAGGTGCATCACGAGATGAAGCATATCTATTTGGAAGCCTACAGAGGTGCCACCATCCGATTTGGCCAATTCCTCTCCACCTCCCTCCTGAAAGAAGACACACAGGAGTTTGGGAACCAAACTCTATTTACCATATTCACCTGCCTGGGTGCACCTGTACAAGAAGTCTCTCTCAAGAAGGAGGTCCTGGTCCCTCCCTATGAGTTGTTCAAGGTTGTAAATGTGAGCTACCACCCGCGAGGAAATTGGTTGCTGTTGCGGTCAGCTGGGAACGTGAGCACATATAACTGTCAGCTGCTAAAAGGTATCATATTATCGATCTAACTGGAATCTGCTCTTTATCAGGATCACAGGCCACTATTCTTTCAAAAAAGTTATTTTTCTGAGTGGGCTTATTGGGAGAAAGGCCAAAAACATGGAAATTGGCCTTCAGAAGTAGTGGAACTGACAGATTAGAGAAGACCTGCCTTATTTCTTGGTTTCCCTCCCCTTCTTTCTCCTCAACTACCTCTAGAAAAAATGTGTTTCTTCAGTGGCACTAATATGTGGGACATTCTAGACACAGAGAGTAAACCTCTACTGAAAAAGATAGCACATAAATTTTTTTTTACTTTATTTTATTTATTTTTACCTTCACCCTCAAACTCGGTTTTGTTTGTTTGGTTTTTTGGCTTTTTTTGTTTGTCATGGTCATTACAGGAATAAGGAGTGCTGTGAGTAAAGCAGGAGGCATGATTTATTCATTCACTCTTATCTATTACCCATCTTCTGTGTTCCAGGAACTGGGATGGGAGGCGTCAGGTGATATGAAATGAATAAAGCAAAATCACTATCCCAGGAAGAGTTTTAGTCTAATGAGAAACGGAAATATGAGCAAATGTCCACACTCAAAAGCACTAAGCAATATACCAGATGTTTAAGCAATGGTTGTGGCTTCTCAGTGTAGGAAGCTACTCATTCTCTCTGGAGAAAGTGAGAAAGTCTACACGATAGAGGACCCCATGGGACTTGAAGTAAGAATGGGGGTTTTCAGTGAAAAAGAGAGGAAAAGTCATTCCAAGCAGAAAACAGCATATGCTGAATCACAGAGGTTTCAAATAGCCAGTGTCTAGGGAATCTTTGTAATTCTGGATGGCTAGAATATAGGAGGCATAAGACACAGGAAGAGGCGAGGAGTAGAAAAGGAATAGGGGAGCGGCACCTGGGTGGCTCAGTCCTTAAGCGTCTGCCTTTGGCTCAGGTCATGATCCCAGGGTCCTGGGATCGAGCCCCGCATTGGGCTCCCTGCTCAGCGGGAAGCCTGCTTCTCCCTCTCCCACTCCCCCTGGTTGTATTCCCTCTCTCGCCGTCTCTCTCTCTGTCAAATAAATAAATAAAATCTTTAAAAAAAAAAAAAAAGAAGAAGAAGAAGAAAAGGAATCGGGAATTGATTGGGGTGGGGAGACTTCTGACAGGCCAGATGGTTAAAACTCTTGTATTCTATGCTAAGGACTTTCAAACTTCATGCTGTAGGTAATGAGAAGTCATTGGAAGTTTTTAAAGAGTGGAGCATCAATGAGATCAGTATTTTAGCAAGAGCTCTGATGATATTGTGAAAAATGAACTGAAGTGGAAGAAATTGGAGACATCACAGAACAAAAAAATATTAAGATCTTTTTTAGAAAAATATGTGGCCGGCTCCATTCCATCCCTGTACGTTGCCAGCCAGAGTCCCTGCACAAAATGGTAGTTCTGTGGCAAGTGCCTGTGCCCTGTTTGATTTAGAAGGAAGATCGTCCTTATCCACGTGTGCATGTGTTCACACTCACACTTAACTGTAATGTCTACCTTCGAAATATCCCTGAATCTTTCTCTATTCCATCATTACTGCTACTGTTAATAATTCAGGCTATCAGCATTTCTCAGCATTTGGGGGCTGCAGTGTTACAATGATCCTAAAATTGGCATCCATGCTGAGGTCTTGGGCCTGCTTACTCTGGCCTATCTGCAAACACAGACCAGGGGAGAGGTGACCTATCAATACTTTTATCTCTTCCTGCCTGTCCGCAGAAGTGTGGCAGGCAGCAACATGAGTGAAATGAGTATCTGTTCCACAGAACCAAGAGATTAGTGTTTGCAGAGGCGAATGAAAAACTAGAGTATGAAGCAAACAGTGAGATTTTAACACCAAACAAGAACATTCATAGCCAGATTCCAAGGTTCTTTGGAACTACATTGTTGTTTCATCCTCATCAGGATGAAGTTGAGACAGAAAAATTTTTCTGCTGGGTTGATGAACACAGTAAAATACATTAAGTAAAATGTTGTAGAACATTTACATCAAAGGGTAGGAAACTGAGAAAAAGGAGTATATAATAGAAACTTTGTTTTAATATTTTATTTATTTATTTGATAAAGCACAAGAAGGGGGAGGAGGCAGAGGGAGAGGGAGAAGCAGGCTCCCTGGGGAGCCTGATGTGGGGCTCAATCCCAGGACCCTGGGATCATGACCTGAGCTGAAGGCAGATGCTTAACGGACTGAGCCACCCAGGCTCCCCTATAATAGAAACTATTACCCATATTCTCTACTCCGTAAGTCTCAAAGGAAACTATTTCAAGACCGTCCCCACCAAACTAATGATCTTTGCTTTCCTGTCAGGAAGCTACTCAAACACAACTTGGAGTTAAGGCTTAGCTGGAATAGCCATGCACATTGCTAGACTCTGGAAGCTTGGCTGGTCTTGACTGGATATTTGAAATCACAAATCATACTTAAGGGAATCAGTAATCTTGTATTGCTCTGTAAGCTCTTTGTAGGCAGACATGTGACTACACAGTATTTAAGAGTCTGGCATGGAATCCTGGCAGTTTGATCCCAGATCCACTCTGTCTGGATTCCTATCCAACTTGTGCAATTTTTTAGCCTTGTTCTCAGTCAGTTGCTTAAACTCCCTTTGTTTCTTCAACTATGTAAGGAGCATCATAATAGAGCCCCTGAGGGCTCTTGTGAAACGAAACTAAACTAAACTAAACTAAAAACTAAACTAAACTAAAACTAAAACAAAATAAAATACTAAAGTATTTCTACAAGACCTAGCATGTGATAAATGGTAAGCAAGTGTTAACCAATATTAACTTTAGTCTCCTGACACATAGAGGTGATCAATCTACATTTGTTGAAAAAAAATCTATATTTGTTGAATGAGTGAATAAATGATGCATTCTCTTTTAATACTTCCAAGTGATCTGGTCTTTGGGTCAGATGACCAGATAACTCAATTGACTAAAAACAGTTTCGATATTTACTAGAAAGAGAAAATATTCTAGAAAGCTCAACCCCTAGTCAAAAATAAGGAGCTATAGCCACGATGTGACTAATCTAGAATGTGGTCGTTTGCAATGTGAGTTACTACATCTGAATTTTTCCTAGAAATTCACCACTGTGCAGTCTTGGGAAGAGATTGTAAATGGCAGGAAAAAACGACCCCTGGTCGTAAAGGGTGATATTTTGGTCAGAGACATTGCAGGGTAGGCCAAGAGCTGGAGTTGGAGTTTCTTCCCAGCCAGCACAACTACAAAACTATCCAGAAGATTGAAAGAGGGAGAAGAATCAGCTCAAGCTGCAGGGATTCCATTCTTCCTTTGACTCTGTTGGCTCTGGCTGAACGTTGCAGAGAAGGCTGCTCCATCCTCTGGTTCTGCTTTCCCTAAACCTCATATGGAAGCCAACTAGGGAAGCCTCAAGGCTGCCATTGGCTGGTTGATAGCACAGACAAGTTAGTTGAGGCCAAAAAGACTGTATCATCTTGAGATGAACACAACCAATATCCACCTATCTCTACCGATTACAAACAAAAAAAAGTTTGATTAACTTCATGATGCTTTCAGCTATTCACTGCAGTGGTGTTTGTTTGTTTTCTCAATAAGTAAGCTATTTCTGAAACTTTCTTTAAGTCATTTCTGTTAACTGACTAGTAACACTTTACTTATCCCAACATCCTGGAGCAGTATTGGGTTGATCCATACATGAACAATGGGAGGAGGGAAGTGGTGTGTTTTTCTTTTCTGGGAGTCCTTCACTGGAAGGGAGTAAGATCAATGGACTCTCCCCAGACCTGCTTTTCTAGCTAACTGCTATTTTGGGCTATCAACCTCAGTCTAGGGATTCCCAGATGGTATTCTAGAGGACTGATATCTAATTCCTCATGAAACCAGAATCCTCTCAGGAAACTGTTTCTTATCCCTTCATTTTTTTTCCCAAGCAGAAGCCACAAGCTATTCTACATCTAAAAAGTCCTCTGAGCCAATGACTTGTTTCCTCTCCTGTTCCCTCTTAATCTGACAGACATCATATTTGAAAGACAACATGAAGACCTTTAAAATTGGTCAGCCAGGACACCATAATTCTCCCAATGAAAAGATAATAGATTAGATATATATAGCTTCCCCAGTCCCTCGATTTATTTCAGAATTGGTTCTGTTAACTTGTAACTACAGTTCTCAAGTTCAAAGAGTACCGAGGAATCTGTCACGTTCAGAGTTAAAAGGTCAAATTGGTAGCATAATATATTTAAGCAAGGGCAATGCAAAAGAAAAATTGTTTAAGACATTCTACACTAACGGCTCTCCCTTCTAATTCTTCTCTCATCCCTTTCGTGACCTATACTGGTTACCATAGAAACAGATGTTTTCATGCCCGTTGAAAGACTCAAAATATGTTACGTTAGTTATTTGTCCTTAAATGTTGTTTTGTTCAGGAAAATAACCCGTGCCAAAAATCTGTAAACACACAAATACATACTCTGTTCTGTATCACTGGATTCACAAAGAAGGATTTATTTGTTAAAATGTTTCACATAATCAAAATTCTTAAGCATGTTTCTAGAAAAAATACAGTCAGCTTTTGTAGTAAGCCTGGTTTTACATGTTAACTGTGCCAGTTACTAGCAGTGAGAATGTGGGCAAAGGCTTAGTCCTTGTGTGTCTCCATTTCTTTATATGTAATATAGGGGGGAAATGTAATGAAACCTCCCTTCTAGGATTCCGGTGAGGATAAAATGACTTATGCATGTAAAAGCTCTTAGAACAGATTCTGACACTAGTAAGTACTCAAAATTGGCAGGTACTATTACTGTTACATATTATTTATTTATTAATTTCCTGTTTTCCTGGGTTTTTTTACTCTGGGCTTTATCTCAAACTAGTCTTCCCTAGTTGTGGCATCACATTAACCTTGAAGTAGAGTGTCTGACTCAGCCGAATGGATGAAAGAATGAGTAATTGAGGGACACCTGAGTGGCTCATTTGGTTAAACGTCTGCATTCGGCTCAGGTCATGATCCCCGGGTCCTGGGATAGAGTTCCGCATCGGGCTCCCTGCTCAGCAGGGAGCCTGCTTCTCCCTCTCCTGAGCCTGCTTCTCCCTCTCCTCCCCGCTCGTTCTCTCTTGCTCTCTTTTGCTATCTCTGTCTCTCTCTCAAATAAATAAATAAAACCTAAGAAAGAAAGAAAGGGAGGAAGGAAGGAAGGAAGGAGGAAGGAAAGAAAGGAAGAAAGAAAGAAAGGAAAGAAAGAAGGAAAGAAAGAAATAGAAAGAAAAAGAAAGAAGGAAGGAAAGAAAAAGAGGAATTGAATGAATCTAGGAGGCCACATGGCATGGTGGAAAGAGACTAGACTTTGGAGCCAGGAAGGGCTGGGCATATATGTTAGTAGCTATGTGGCCTCGTATAAATGACAACCTAAGAGCCTGTTTCTTCATTTATAAAGTGGAGGCAAAGGGGAATATTGTGGCAGTCCCTGGCGTCCACCCTCTCAAACACAACTGAAAAACTCTGGGAAAGCACTTTGCACATGGAAGTGGGATAATAGTTTAGTTTAGAAGCACAAATGTGAGCTTCCGTGATATTGGCGGTGAAGAAAAAAATGAAGAGATGGAAGAAACAAAACTTATCCTTGTTTGAGTGCCAACTGGTTCCTAGATAACTCTCTAAAGAGTAACACTCATTAATCTCCACATTTGACAGAAAGGGGCTCTAAAGCATTTGGAGTATTTGCCTCCAAATATCAGATTAACTAGATATACTGCATATCAGTTTTAGCTTTTTCTGCTTTTTTCAAGGGATTGAGTATTTCTTTCTGAACAATCTGATATAATTCACAGATTCGGAGTTCATGAAATACAGGGTGTAATAATTATGTATTTCTCCCCAAACTGTATATCCTAAGGCAGCAATGACCAAATTTAGGTTATGATCCACAAAAAAAATGATACTTATGTAGCAAATTTCATTCACAGAAGGTTTTCACACACATTATCTGTTTAATTCTTACAACCACACTGCACATTGGTTACTGACCCCACTATACTGATGTGAATACTGAGGTTGAGAGAGGTTACATGGTTTGTATGAGATTATTCAGCTTATAAATGACAAAAGTAAGACCCTTTCCCATGTTTTATGACAAAAAGCCCAGGACAATGTTCTCTACAGACTGCTTTCAGGAGATTAATTTGTTCAAAAATATTACTAAGAACCTACTATTAGTCTCAATCCTCTGTGACTGTGACTGCATTGTAACTCACTTCACATACACATAAACATACAAGTACACACACACACATGTAAAACAAGACAATCATTCACCATTTCACATGCTGTTTGACTCTAGTGTTTTTTATTCTAACCCATTTTATCACATTATTACAGTGATGGTCATGATAAAGCATTAATGCATCACAGCCTCCGATTTGAAAAATACTAGGATACGGAGGGAATAAAAAGCATTGAATAGATAGTCTAGAAGGAAAGTAAAAACAAATACAAAAGTAAATTTAATGTGAGTTTTCCTTAAATGAAAGATTTCGTAGATTGCATTTAATTCACAGATGTTTTTCATTTATTCACCTACATAAAGATACTGTCTGTGTAAAAATAATGATAATAATGATAAAGCATGAGGTAGAAATGTTAAAGACTATAAGAGAGAAAAAGTGAGCGCCTGGGTGGCTGAGTTGGTTAAGCGACTGCCTTCGGCTCAGGTCATGATCCTGGAGTCCCGGGATCGAGTCCCGCGTTGGACTCCCTGCTCGGCAGGGAGCCTGCTTCTCCCTCTGACCCTCCTCCCTCTCATGTGCTCTCTGTCTCTCTCATTCTCTCTGTCTCAGATAAATAAATAAAATCTTAAAAAAAAAAAAATAGAGAAAAAGTAACAAGAGAGGAAAGAAAAGTTACTTTAACCTGAGAAAATAAAATGAAAGTAAGCTTTTTTAATATCCTAGTTATTATGAAGGGGGCTGAAGAGGTGGTTTTGAAGGATGAGTATGATTACAAAATGGTAATGTCCATATATTTGTCCTTATTTGAGCATCAATCATTATAGTAGCCATGAAGTACAGCAAAGGGGAATGGTAGTGACTGCAGTATTTCCAACAGTCTTGAGATGAGATGCTCTCATTCTACAGATGAGAAAGCTCAGGTCCAATGAAAGTAACTGACATAAAGGTCAGCTAGGGACAAAGCTTCAAAACCCAAGCTAATCACTTCCAATAACCATAATTTCTACCCACTATATTGTTTCACTGTCAATCAATATTCTCTGATAACTCTTCAGTAGAATCATATCCTGTTACAAAGTGAGAAAGGACAGAGACAGAGGTCCTTGTGATCTCAGCCTCAGTGAAGAGAAAACAAAACAAAAAATGTTTGAGAATTATTCTAATGAATGAGCTGTTCAAGTGGTATTAATGGTCTCGAGGTCCCTGTGAGAATTCAGATAATACAATTTTAGCAGGAACTTTGACAGAAGCTTAGAAATAGGTATGTACTATTAATTTTCCTTATCTACTCTTATTAGTGAAAATGGATTTTAAACAGTTTGTATATATAGAATTCCAAGAAATTCCAGGAAACTCAAAGGATTTTATGCGTTATTATGTGAAAGTAATGGGAAAATATTTCTCCATCGTCTGGTCATCCTATCAAGCAATATATTCAAATATTGAGGCAATCACAGAGTTGAATGCCTTCCTACTCCCAAACATCTTTTCTATCCTAAATAGTCAGGGAAGGCTAGTTGGAAAGGAGATCCCACTCTTTAGAGCATTTTGCAATATGTGAAGAAACAATACCGTGGCTAAAAAGATAGAGTTGAGCCAGGCTGCCTGAGTTGGAATGCTGCCTTCACTGCATACTAGATGTGCGATGTTCGGTAAGTTTCTACACGTCTGTGTCACCGTTTGATCAGCAGAAAAATGAGGATAATGAGAACAAATACCTCATAGATTTCCCGTGAGGATTAAATGAGCTAATTGCTAGCGAGTGCTTAAAACGCACACAGCACGGAGTAAGTTGCTAATCAATGTTAGCTTTCATAATGGTGATGAAGATGATGATAATTAAAATAGGGATACCAGTGATGGTGATGGTGCCGCTGATGACAATAAAGATGGAAAATCAGATCTCACACACCGACTACCCAGGCGGGTAACCTGGAGTAAATCTCTGAACTTGTTGGCGCTGTTTCATCTGCAAAATAAACAAGCTGAGTTCTGTTGGTTAGAAAAAATTCTAAGAGGATACTTTTTTTAAAGTAGCTAACTTCAAATATTTTTATTAGGGATTTTCTAAGTTAAAAAAAGTGAATCAAAGGAGAAATAAGGTAGTTTTTAAAAAAATAAACTCTGCTACCTAAAAGTTCTCTAACTTTGTGTTCGTTTTGACAGGTTCCAGCAAAAAGTACAACCCTGCTCCTGTGGTTATTGCTTCTCTCTCCTTTTTGACCAGTGTTGTCATCTCTTCCAAAAGTGGAGTATAAAGGAACCTTGTGGTTTTGCTTTCTCTGTGTCCTTTTGCTTGATGCCAGTCAGAGGCAAGCTGAATACCCTCGGGGAATCACTCTGCCCAGTTATCAACTGATGCAGCGCTTGGCTCAGCCCGCTGCCTGTGAGAGGACCTAGAACGCAGTATATTTCTTCTCCATGGACACAGAGATTCATCCTGGAATAGAAAAGGACCCAATCAGAGCTGGTGAGATACAGTCATGGTAATGTTTTGGAATTGGGATTGGGAATGGGGTGTGGGAGCCTTTTTATTGAGTGGAGATTGATGAAAGCAGAACGAGTATGAGCCTACAGCTGCTAGCAGCTCTCTTGCCACCAGTAGGGGAGACTCTATCTCCTTGAGAATGGAGTGAACACAATGAAGGAGGAACTGGAAAATGAAAAGAAACCGTTCTGATGAGAGAATATGAGCCCCTAGATCCAACTATGCCTGAAACTGGAATCCTGGGCTTTTTAAAAATTACATAAATCAGTAAATTGTATATTTGCATAAATAATTTGAATTAAATTTCCTGTCTCAAGCAATCAAAGGAGTTATGAATGCTTCTTTTTTTTATTTAGCAATCCTAAATAGGAACAAATCGAGAAGCTTGAGTTCGAAAGCACAGAAAAAAAATCTTCATCAAATGGAAAAGCTTTGAACCCCAGAGAAATAATTAAAAGTGTAAATTTTCTTCAGAGATTTTTATCAGCATTCAAGACCAAACCAGTGTAGACTCAGATAGGAGGAAATACGAAAACTTGAGAAATAAAAGGGAAAGTTAATAAAAGATGTTAGTGAAATCTCATTCACTGGCAGTAATGGGGCGCCACACATGTTTCTAAAATATTACAAAAGTTAGAATTTAAATTCACATGTTAGTTTACAGAGGGACTTTATGGCAAATTAGATTGTAAGTCGTCATCAAAAGTTTAGGTACATTTATTAGGAAAGCATGCAGATGTGTGTGGATATAAAGGAGAAGATATGAGAGGGAAAAAAATCTGATAACCAAGCAAATATCAAAGATATATCGAGTACTTACTATGTGACAGTAATTAAATAAAAGGAAGTATAAATCACCAAACTTCATAGCTGGGGATTTTCTCCAACTCCCTTCAGTTGTATACAATATAAATGGGACAATGGGAGTTGCCCTGATTTCCAAAGATCCGGATATTGGGCTAAACGGAGTGAAATTATGAAAGTCCATGCTACTTAGCCCCTCTGAGATTTGGGTAAGAAACAATGAAAGTGAAATCAGCTCATTTGACCCCATTAGGACTTTCTAAAGGGACAGTGCCATGAGAGAAGAGACTCAGTGGGGAATTAGCTGCATATAATCCCCCGGTTGAGAATTCAGGCATCTAGTATATCATTCTTCACACGGAATTTTGAGAACAGGGCCAAGCTCACCTCTGTCACCTAGCTTACATTGGCCTCTATGCCTAATAAGGCAAGCATAAATTTTCCATGTTTTCATGGACACAGTTTTCATGATTTATTGCCCAGGAACATTGGCAGGTTAGCAGCTACTGAATAGAGTCTCATCGGCCTGGCTCTGCGAACAAGCTTTGTTGTGAGCTTTAGCGAAGCAGTAGAAAAGCCTCCCAACATCTTGTGAATATTTTTTTTTCTGTGCCATATAAATGCACTTACTGAGCCATACTATGTACAAAACACCTTGGGGATTAAAAGTTGAATAGTGTAAGCCAGATCTTCCATAGTTTACAATCTCTTGGGAGAAATGAAGAAAAGAACACAAGTCACAGAGGAAATACCAAAAGAAAGGGGAATATCAAGCCTGCTGTTCACGAGAGCTCAGAAGAACTTCTGAGGCAAGAGAAGAAGCCAGGAGGGCTTCAGGGAGGAGGCAGCATTTGCGCGAGGTCTTGGGACCCTGGGGTGGGAGCAAGGGGTGAGAGGAAGAAGTCAGCGTAGGTGTGTGTCAAGCGCTTAGTGCTGAAATGCATGCAAATAATAAGCGCTTCGAGTTTAGAGAAAAGCGAGATCCCTCTGCTATGATCCCTCTCAAAGCTGGATACAGCTTTCTACTGGAAATGAGGCTCAAGGGAGGGCTTCAGATGGAAAAAGGAGAGCTGAGTAGAAAAGAGACAGGGGATATAGGAATGATCAGTGTACACAAGGGTCAGGAAATAGATCTGGCAGAGAGAAGCTGTAATGTGGACTAAAGAAGAAAGAGCCACCCAATCAAGCTAAAAGGACAGCCTAACGCATTGGATCTCCATGAGAAATCAGTCTTCTGAGTAAGACATGCTCGATAGGTGATCTTAACGCATGCTCCCAGCACCTGGAGCACCAATGTCCCTTAAGAACACGTTAGAAATGTGAACTCTAGGGCCTGATCCCAAATCTATAAAATCAGAAACCCAGAACCTGTGTTAAGAAGCCCTTCAGGCTTGTGACTTATGCGATTATGATCCGTAAAGGAATAACCAGGTTTTTGAAAAGATAACTTAATTCTTCCTCCTGTTGCTGCTTTATAGAACAAATCTCCAGAGATAGAAGTTATTCTCTTGAACTGTGTAGATTTGTGGGCTAAGGATGAATGTGCATACTTTGCATTCCCTCAGTCTCTCCCTAGAGTCCTAAGTTTTTGTGCAAAAAATCACGTGGATCATTAAAAGAGTTGGCACTATAAAGTTGCAGAGTATTTATCTCCTATAGTAATTGTTATTAATGCTTCTCTCTTTTTTGTGTACACAAAAAAAATACTTTGGCTTCATTTATTGTTTTATTTGTATCTTTACGATCCAGTGTTCTACTATGCCTATCTGATTGTCCCGAGGTCCCCTATTTGCTCTGACTTCAAAAAATAATAAATCCAGTGAAAGAAAATTTCTGTAAAGCTTGATTTACTTGGAGCACCAGGATTCTTGGCCTGAGTTGTCTAATGATCTGAATCAAACTGACTTATACTTTATGAGCCCAGATCTTGATTTGGTAAAATTCAACAGACATTTTTTGAACTAGACGCTTTCAGAGACACCAACATGTACCAAATATTGGCAAGTGATAAAATGTGGGAAAAAAAAGGTTATTACAGGTATTACAGGACTCCCTCCCTTCCTCCTCCCTCCCTCCCTCCCTTATCTTCTTGTAGTAAGTGCCCATGTGTTTTATTTTGTTGTGCTTTATGACAGTTCACTTCTTCCTCCCCACTATTGCTTCATTCAGTTAGGTCACACTGTGCTCGTGGCCTCTGAGGAGGAATGAAACTAGATATGAGGTAGAAACTAGTGAATCTTCCCCAGGTTGCTTTTCAAAACCTGAAGGAATGGAGAGAAAATGAGAGGAACCCAAAACAAAGAATTTGAGAGAAACAGTAAATAAGAATACCGGGTTTGAGAA